CTGGGCCAGGCTGAAGACAGGAACCTGGAACTCCATCCAGATTTCTCATGTGGGTGGCAGAGGTCCAAGCATTTGAGCTATCTTCAAAGGCACACTGACAAGAAGCTGGGTTAGAAGTAGAGCAGGTGAGACTCATTTAGATTGCCTGATAAAGGGTGCCAAAGTCACAAGCAACACAGGCCCCACCTTTGCTCTCGATCAGCACATTTCTGCTTTGATTAGACCAGTTCCTCTTCTTGGAAGTCATTGCCTTATATTGTGTCATCTTCAGGATCAGACTAGGGAAAGCCATATTTCATCTCTGGTTAGAATTATTTAGAAAAACATTTCAGGCTTGAACTTTCATTTGAAAATTTTCATGGGAAGTGTTTGAAGCTGATTTAGGTGCATTTTTTTTAAAGATTTTATTTATTGATTTTAGAGGTAGAGTTACAAACAGAGACAGGGAGAGACAAAGAGAAAGGTCTTCATCCACTGTTCACTCTTAAATGGCTGCAACAGACAGAGCTGGGCTGATCTGAAGCCAGGAGCTTCTTCTGAGTCTCCCACGTGGGTTCAGGGGCCAAACAACTTGGGCCATTTTCCAATGCCCTCCCAAGCCATAAGCAGAGAGCTGGATCAGAAGAGGAGCAGCCAGGAAATAGTGCTGCAGTACTACACCACAGCACCAGCACCAAGGAGCAGTATTTCATGATACAGAAAGCTAACCCCATTTTTTTCAGCCACAATTAGGTTTACCAATTAACCAACTAAGATGTCTATGGCGTTGGCTATTGTTTCTGCTGCTGTCAGTTCTCTTCAATTAAGGATTGAACTAGATTGACCTTTTTTTCCCTTGCACATTGATGTGGGTTGCTTGCCATTGTGGGTTTAATCAACAATCTCATCACTCTATTTGTCTATTTATCTATTTGTAAACTAAGGATTTCTTCAGGAAATTGGCCCTATAAACATGAATGATTTCAGTATTTGCCAGCCATGCTTCACTATCAATTTGATGTTTGTTCTCGCATCAAGTTTAGCAGAATTCATATCACTGAGAAGGGCTCTTCAAAAACCAAATGCTTATTCTTCTTAGTACATCAAACTAGATTTCAGATGTTACAAAAAGTTAGCAAAAATTTAGTTTGCTGTACAAGTTCTGAATCCATACCTAGTTTTTTGCAAAATATGCCTTTTCCATGAACTTTGTGAAGTTCCCTTGTATGACTACTATGAAAAGCATTTCCATCAATTTTTAACATATTTTAGCCCTTGCTAGTTAAAATATTAGGTTAATTTTACATGTCCATCTGCAAGTGTGAACATAGCATAATTTTAATAATTATTTTAAGGGTTTGAGACAGTTATAGTTAATACCTTATTTTCTTACTAGCACTCCAAAAGCAGGGCCAAACAAGACATTGTTATGTTGACATATCATTTTTAAATTAATATTTTTCAATAAACTAATTCTTGTGTTTTTTTAAAAAAATAAACACAGAATAGTAGTTACTAGCAGCTGGGATGGATTGAAGAGATAGGGGGAGTTTGGATAACAGGTACCAAATCAGTGAGAATGAAGGACTAACTTCCTGGTGTTAAAAGCATAGTGGGAAAACTACAGTTCACAATAATGTAATATGAACCAGTTTAAAAAAAAAGGAGCACCAAGCTTCCAACCATAAAGTAATGTCAAAGAAGGGGAAATTGTGACTACCCTTATCTGATCAGTACACCCTAACACACATATTGAAATGGAAGTCAGTCTGGAGATTCCTCAGAAACCTGAAGATAACCCTACCGTTCAACCCAGCCATCCCACTCCTTGGAATTTACCCAAAGGAATTTAAATTGGCAAACAAAAATCAGTCTGCACCCTAATGTTTATTGCAGCTCAATTCACAATAGCTAAGACCTGGAACCAACCTAAATGCCCATCAACGGTAGACTGGATAAAGAAATTATGGGATATGTACTCTTTAGAATACTATACCGCAGTAAGAAACAACGAAATCCAGTCATTTGCAACAAAATGGAGGAATCTGGAACACATCATGCTGAGTGAAATAAGCCAGTCCCAAAGGGACAAATACCATATGTTCTCCCTGATCGGTGACAACTGACTGACCACCAAAAAGGAAACCTGTTGAAGTGAAATGGACACTATGGGAAACGGTGACTTGATCAGCATAGCCCTGTTAATGAACAACTTAATACATTATCCCTCTTAGTAGTTTTTTTGTCTGTTCTACTTAATATGACTGGTTTAATTCTGAAATTAATACACAGTTATTCTTAAGTGTTGAAAATTAATTGAAATGTGATCCCTGTTAAACATAAGAGTGGGAATAAGAGAGGGAAGAGATGTATAATTTGGGACATGCTCAAGCTGACTTGCCCCAAATGGTAGAGTTAGAAACATACCAGGGGATTCCACTTCAATCCCATCAAGGTGGCATGTACCAATGCCATCTCACTATTCCAAGTGATCAATTTCAGTTCACAATTATCATAATGAAAGGACTAAGAGTCAAAGGGAGCACATAAACAAGTCTAGTACCTGCTAACACTAACCGATAGAATAAATAAAGGGGAGAGTGATCCAACATGGGAAGTGAGATACTCAGCAGACTCATAGAATGGCAGATGTCCTAAATAGCACTCTGGCCTCAGAATCAGCCCTAAAGGCACTCGGATCTGGCTGAAAAGCCCATGAGAGTATTTCAGGCATGGAAAGCCAAGACACTCTGGCAAAAGATCTCTGTGAGTGAGATCCCAGTGGAAAGAACAGGTCTTCAAAGAAGGAGGTACCTTTCTCTGAAGGGAGGAGAGAACCTCCACTTTGACTATGACCTGGTCTAAACAAGATAAGACTCGGAGAACTCAGAGGGCTTCCATAGCCTTGGAAACTCATGACTGGAGCATAGGGAGATTACTGATGCCATAGAAAGGAGTGTCAATTGGTAAAGTCAACAACAGGAGTCACTGTGCACTTACTCCTCATGTAGGATCTCTGTCCTTAATGTGCTGTGCATTGAGATTTAATGCTATAACGAGTACTCAAACAATATATTTCACTTTGTGTTTCTATGGGGGTGCAAACTGTTGAAATCTTTACTTACTGCATACTAAACTGATCTTCTGTTAAAAAAAAAAAAGAAAGAAATTATCAATTCCCAACTTGACTCTCACTGGGATTAAACATGACAATAGGTCTGATCTGATTTCATCATCATTTTAAAAAATCATCTATTATTTTTCACTTTATGTTTCTATGTGGGAGCAAACTGTTGAAATCCTTACTTAATGTATACTAAGCTGATCTTCTGTATATTAAGATAATTGAAAATGAATCTTGATGTGAATGGAAGGGGAGAGGGAGTGGGGAAGGGGAGAGGGAGTGGGAAAGGGGAGGGTTGTGGGTGGGAGGGACGGTATGGGGGGGAAGCCATTGTAATCCATAAGTCGTACTTTGGAAATTTATATTCATTAAATAAAAGTTAAAAAAAATCATACTTAGTGAAATAAGCCAGTTCCAAAAGGACAAATACCACATATTCTCCCTGACCTGTGATAAAAATAGAGCACCTAAAAGGTAATCTATAGAGGAGAAGTTGACACTTTGAGAAGAAATGACTATGAACAACCCTTATCTCAACTGTTGAAGAACAGGTTTTTTTTTTCATACTATTTGTTTAACTCTTTACTTAACATAGAGTTAATCATATATGTACAAAGTTAATTGAAAATAGATAGATGTATAAAACAAGTATATGAAGATAAGTGAAAATGAATCTTGATGTGAATGGAAGGGGAGAGGGAGCGGGAAAGGGGAGGGTTGCGAGTGGGAGGGAAGTTATGGGGGGGGGAAGCCATTGTACTCCATAAGCTGTACTTTGGAAATTTATATTCATTAAATAAAAGTTAAAAAAAAACAAGAATGGGAATAGGAAAGGAGAAAGAGGTGTGGGAGAGTGGGTGGGAGGGCGGGTATGGTGGGAAGAATCACCATGTTCCTAAAGTTTAATTATGACATGTATGAAGTTTGTATTCCTTAAATAAAAGATTTCTGGGGAATAAAAAAAAAAAAGAAATGTCACACTGTGATCCATAAATAGTTAATAAAAATATTAAAAAGAATTCTAAAGTGGCAAATGCCAATGCCCAAACAAGAGTTTCTAGAGGTTCTTAATGTTTTGAGCGTGAAAATTTCCGCCAATCCCAAAGCTTGAGAGTAAAGTCCTACACTGGCAAAGTTCAATTTGGGAACACTGTTTCTTAAGGAGGGCAAAGGAGCTCATTCATAAATGCATTAATACATTAAGAAGCCTAGAATCAACTAAAGAAAAATAAATTATTTAAAGTGAAATATCTATGCTTACAGATATATATATACACACACACACACACACACACACACACACACACATATATATATATATACACTTGCTGAGGGACATGAGCAGGGTGGTAAACTTTTTTTATCTTAGTAATATTAAATACTGTAAAACATCAACATTTCTTCATATATCCTATATGCTACCTATACAGACTTACAGTTATAATGAGAATGTGAATAATATTTTTGTGTCAACAAAGACTAAATAGTTATAAAACATTATAAATAGTTATAAAATAAAGTATTCCAGAAAATTCTGAAAGAAATGAGTAATGAGTGTGCATGTGTTGGGGAATAATACTTGACCTATTAGTTATGAAAGTGTGCATTATATATAAAACATTTTTAAAAAATGTTTAAACCAAATGCAGCCATAGTAATCAAATTATTGATAGTAGCTTAATAGACAAATGGAATTGAATAGAGCACTTATAAATATCAAATGCAAAATTACCTAGTAGAGGTTATATTTTACATCAGTGGGGAGAGAGGAACTATTGTTTAGTGATATGCCAACTAGATAACACTGTCAGAAAAAGTAGACTCTCAAGTGAATATAACATAACTGTCAACTACATTAAAGACTGACACTAAAAATGAAACATAAAAGGATAATAAATGTATCAGGAGAAAACATGGGTATTTTTATTATCCTGGCCACAGAAAATTCTTTCTTAACATTATGCCAAAGGCAGAAATTAATTAGCAGGTCAGTAGACTCAATTGTGTTAAAAAAAAAAAAAAAAGATACCAATAGAGAGGCTTAAATGACAGTAGAGAAAACATAAGCAATGTGTGTAATACAGGAATAATAATACCCCCCCAAACAACAAATTTATGAACTACACAAAAAAGTGTAAAGGTTATAAATGACTAGTTAACTACATGAGAACTACAAACAGGGAACTAAAACATTGAAATATAAGCACTAAAAAAATAATGCCTAGAAAACAATGTGGTGAAGTGGGTTAAGCCACTGCTTGCAGTGGCCACATCCCTTATCAGAGCGCTGGTTGGAGCCCTGGCTACTCAGTTTCTCATCCAGCTTCCTACTGTGCATGCTGGGAGGCAGCAGATGACAGCTCAAGACCCGGATGGAGTTCTGGGCTCTTGGCTTCAGCTTGGCACAGGTTGTGTCCATTGTAGGCATATGAGGAGTAAACCAGCAGATGAAAGCTCCCTTGATCACTCACGCTCTCTCTCTGCCTTTCAAACAGATGAAAATAAGTGCTAAAAAAAGAGAAAGTGAACTTTTGGTTATCACTTAAAATAGCATATGTGTGCACATACACACAAAGATGTCCAGAGATATCAACATGAAAATATTAACAGTGCCTAACTCTGGATAATAGATGGATTTGTACAGATTATTTACATGTCATTAAATTTTACTTACATACTATCCGACAGATTGTATGGCATATTGCAGGCAATGAATTTGTGAACATATAAACACAAATTCCTGATTATAATAAAGTATTAAATAACATCAATAAAACATCTAGGTTGATAGGAGCAAAAGAATTTCCATCAGAACTGGCACACTTATTTTTGAGGCCCCCAAACCAGTCTGCATAAACTCCTGAGCAGCTAGGTTTAGCATAAAACAATCTTCGAAGGAAGCTACTGTGTTAGTCACCTATCACATCTCAGCTCCAAGTGCACATTTCTATCCTCTATTTTGTCATGATGAGTTTGGGACTGGGCAAACTACATCTCCCTGACCCCTTGCTGCCTGTTAGGCTCTGCCAGTAAAAACTACTACAGGTAAGTGGGAAAGCAGAAAGAAACAAGATCTACCTCTTTGCTTTTGATTGCTAATGCAATCAGTGCTGATCTAACAAAGGCAGTTATTCTAGTCTTCAACTGCTTTCTGAACTTCTAGAGCTATCTCCAAAGCATCTCTCAGAATACCACGAGAAGCCAGGTGGGAAACCTCAGAGGTTTCAGGAACAGTGAATAAATGCTTCTTTTTTGGAGCTCCCTGTACTGGTAATTTTTTCCCTTTTGTATTCCTACCACTATAACTAATAGCTGTTTCCTCTGATGATGGTCTCTGGGCAACCTTCTAATTCCTCTGTTGAAATACCTGATGTGGGGTCTCCTGATTGGACACACTCTGTCAGCAGTCCTATTTGAACAGCAGACATAATAGTTAATGACAAAAATTGAGATATTAATGCTGAAGTCCAATTTGTTCAGGTTAACACTCTGGAGGGTGTCCGAATGTTAAAGCAATGTCAATACAGAAAGATGCTCATACTAGCAATGGATTGGAATGCATTATTGCCAATGCAATAATGGAAATGTTTTAACATGTGCTGGACAACACAGTAGCCAGTGTAATATGGTAGTTACATGTGGCTACTCAACAATATGAATAAGCAATAATTTTTAATATCAATTGGACTTAAATTGTTAGTGTTCACTGTATTACACAGCATAGGCCTAGGCTGACTGGATGGCAGGAGAATCTACAAGAATGGACTTCCAATTCTGTTATAGGCACTAGGGCTAGAAAAACAAGATAGGCATCCTCTCTCTAAAGGACTTCAGTCCAGCAATGGCAGACAGACATGTAAAAGAAAACTGCTTTGAAAATATTACACCAACAATGTGGAATATGGATTACAGAGACTGTTTCAAAGACAGGTTACTCGAGGACAAACGCTGTAGCCTAAATCGAGTGATGAGAACTCTTCAACCACAGTAGTGAGGAAAGGTATTAAAAAGTAAAGTTGACACTGGGATTAAACATGACAATAGGTCTGTTCTGATTTCATCATCATTTAAAAAATCATCTATTATTTTTCACTTTATGTTTGTGTGGGAGCAAACTGTTGAAATCTTTACTTAATGTATGCTAAATTGATCTGTATATAAAGAGATTCGAAAATGAATCTTGATGTGAATGGAAGGGGAGAGGGAGTGGGAAAGGGGAGGGATGCAGGTGGGAGGGACGTTATTGGGGGGACGCCATTGTAATCCATAAGCCGTACTTTGGAAATTTATATTCATTAAATAAAAGTTAAAAAAAAAAGTAAAGTTGAAAATAACTCCTCATTTCTGGATTCTTAATCCTACTAATGGAATATAAGAAAACCAGCTTTGGGGAAAAGTGATTAGGTTGAATGTACAAAGCCCCAAGTGCTGGGAAACACCCAGATGCCTAGGTGGAACAGACAACAGGAATTATCTAAGGGTCTAGAATTCACAGAGGAGGTTGGTCAGACAACGTGGACTCATCAGTCAGGTGGACACACTAGGAAAGCACAATCATCCAGAAGGCGAGGAGAGGGACAAGTGGGGCTAAGCACCATATCAAAGACAATATTAGAGATTTACAAAGAAGGAAACAAGAATGCAGGTGACTGTGAAAGTAGACCGGAGAGGCCTGAGGAGGTCCAAGATCCTGAAAACCAGAAGTGGGGGTAATAAACAGTAACTGTGAAAACGCTAACAATTATTGAACATCATTGTGTGGCAGGTCTTTTTAAGTGTTCTACATAGAAGTCTATATAATCTTTAAAAGGATCCTCTAAGGTAGATGAAAAAACTGAAGCACAAAACAAGTTAAATCTCTCACTCAAGTGAATCACACGGAGTAGGCAGCAGAGCCAGCATATGAGCCCAGGAAGTCTGGCTTCACAGACTGAACTCTCAACCATTCAGAAGAAAAAGACTGAAATATTCGCAGCAGCTTTCGTTGGAGAACATGACAAAATGAGCATTATCTATAGCTAAGGAAATGTAATTATAAGCAAAGGTAAGCCCTCTAACTTCTCATGTGACTCACAATAATGCAAAAGGCAAATCCTCCATGCTACATTAGTGAGGCTCAGTTTCTTAAAATTGGAGGAACAACTAAACCAAATGTTCTCAAACCATATTTTTTAAAAAGACATCTGAAAAAAAAACATACCTAAGTATTTCTTTGTGAAGCTCCTCATATGCTTTGGATGCACAACCCGGTAAAGAATATGGGTCAAACTCTCGATTACTCAAAAAGCAAAAGAATAATTTGCTAACAAACTTGTTGTACAGGCTTTTGGCTAGTAAACAGTTAAAAAAAGTGATTTTCTGGATTAGTTCTGTAAAAGAACATATACCCTCCCCCCAAAAAAATAACGGGTGTATTTTTAATTAATTTTAATTTTTGTAAGTTCATTTTACACTGCCTGATTTTAGTTACATTTTCTTCATAATATTGGGTTCCCAAAAATGCTCACTCCTGATCATGTCCTCATTGATTACAAAGAAGCTAAGATTACAGGTAGGGAAGAAGGAAGTTGAAGGGAAGATCCAATCTCATATCCCCACCCAATTTTCATGAAAAGATCTTCCATTGTGCCAGGAGCTTTCAGTAAATAGGAGGTGAAGGAAGGCGGTAGAGGTATGAAATAGAATTTTTCAAAATGTCTGTAGAAAGCCAAAATAAGTTTTGCTACAAAAACATTCATAATCCATGCACTTTTTAAAAATACACATATTTCCATGAACTGTTTGAAAGGCGCTTGTAACTGATAACTACACATGCAATGAATGAGGGGATTTCAAAATTTGGTGTGTGCGCTCATGAGTCAACTCAATTGTATAAAGTTCCCTAAATCATGACTCACTTTTGTTAACATCAGTGTTGTGGCACACATTTTCTTCTTCATTCTAACTCACTCCTATCAAAACTAATCGGAAAAAGAAGTGCAGTGTAAAGTACAGGGAGAAGAGAGAGAGAGAAGGATGTGTAAAACAGGTGGTGATTTTCATTAAAGCAATGGTCTTTCTTGTCCTCAGCTAAGAAAGGCCACCATGATTTACATTAATATGCTACATAAGGTTATCTAAACATGGAAAAATCTCTCTAGGTTGTGGATGGAGTGGAGGACAGACAAAGGTCACGGGGCAGTTTAGAATAAACATACTAGCAAACAAACATATTCACGGTATAATGTAAGCAGAAACTGAAGTCAACACATGAACAAGTACTATGAGTCAACATGAACTATTTTCATCCATTCAACAAAGATATGTTCAATGAAAATACAGAACTGACTACATGCATTGTGATCAATGTTTAACTAGGATTGCTGCAATTTTAATATAGTTTTTAGAATAAATGAAAGTTTAAAAAAAGGCAGATGCAAGAGCAGAACTAGAGAACTGGCACTGTGTCTGGAAACTAAAGCAAAGATGCTAACAATCACATTGTCATTCTGGAAGGCCAGTTTATAACCTACTAGGCAGTCACATACTGCACTGCTCTTGTACCCAGAGGAGATACTTTTCCCCACTTGATGCTTGTGGACAGTACTGAACTCTGTTTTTCTTCTATGGTAATTTAATTTGTAATGAGCACAGTAAGAAATTTACTTTTTCACTTCAAACAAGGACTTTATGACTTCTCTTTGGTATGTCGGCATCAGTCCTTTGGGGCTATTATTAAAGAAAATATGGGTAACTTGAATACAAACAGCACTGTAACACCATGACAGAACAAGATGACCACTAAGCAACTAACAGGCGGGCAGTCTATACCAGCCTTGTAGAGTGTGAATATGAGTAACATCCCAGGGGAGACAGAGTTGGACACTGCAAGATTTCATCAAACTGCTCCAAACAGCACCAAATTTAAACTGGAATTTTCCATTTAATATTTGCAGACTGTGGTTGAACACTGAAATCGTTGAAAGTAAAAACATGGAAAGCAGAAATGTGGATGGAAGTGAAGAGGCTAGTCTGCTGATACAAATTATGTGTCCCCAAATTCAGATGCTGAAACTAACTCCCATGTGACTGTCTTTGTAAATGGTGTCTTTAAAGAGGTAATTAAAGGTAAATGAAGTCTTACTGGCCTACAGCCAAGAAAAGAAGGTTTGGGGGAAACCAATCCTGCTAGCACCTTAATCTTATTCTGCTATCCAGAACTGTGAGAAAACAAATGTCTGTTCTTAAAGATGCCAAATCTATAATATTTTGTTATGGTATCACTAGTAAACTCATGTGCACAATTTAGGTAAAATTATAATGGGTGGGGCAGGCAGTGGCATAGTGAGTTTGGCCTTCACCGGGGACCTGCATATCCCAATTGGAGTGCTGGTTCTAATCTTCACTCCCTTGCTTCCTACTAGCCTCTTCCTGGAAATGCATTCTGGGAGGCAGTGAATGATGGTTCAAGTACTTGGATACCTGCCTCTCACTCCAGATGGAGGTCCTGGCTAGTGGCTTCAGTCAGGCCCAGCCCTGGATCTTGTGAACATTTGGAAAGTGAATCAACAGATGGTGATCTCTGACTCTATGTCTCTGCCTTTCTAGTAGAGGAAAATAAATCAAACATTTAAAAAATGGCAAGACCTAGAGGACACTCCTGGCTCCTGGCTTCGGATTGGCGCAGCTCTGGCCATTGCTGCCAACTGGGAAGTGAACCAGGGGTTGGAAGACCTCTCCCTCTACCCTCCCCCACTTCTCCTCTCTGTGTAACTCTTTCAAATAAATAAATCTTTCAAAAAATAGTATTCCCACGTATTTTTCCACACTATATATCCACTGTCCCAAACATCCAAGTCACTGCACTTTCAGCAAGACCCAGGGTTGATATCAAGTGTTAATCATAAGACAAGGTAACTGAATTTCTGAACAAGCAGATACAGGAGAAAACCAGTATTATGCTCAAATAAAACTACAACTAAACCAAAAACACATATGGTCATTTCCTTGCCATTTTAAGTGAGAGAAATATGGAAAAGCTTCCAAAAACAAAGGATGTGAAATGAATGGAAATTAATCAGCATGTTTATGGTGCACTCATCTGAGGGACCTTTTAAAACGCAATCCACCTGACAAGTTTCTGATTGTGTAGTTCTGAAGCAGGGCTCAGGGATTTTCAGTTCTGATTCCAGAATGCTGCTGAAGGGCTGCTCTGGAGACCACACTTGGAGAACTAGTTAATGTTGTAGGAGAATCACTGCATTTTAATGAACGTGAGAAGTATTAGAAGAGCCCCACAGGTTCATGCATGGGCACCGGGCTCCCTAAACCATTACTGATAATCAGCTCCCTGAGGTCTTATGCTGAATTTATTTGAACTCTAACCCAAATTATTTCAAAATGCAATTGGGTGGGGGATAGGGAAAGGAGGAGAAAAGGAACCTAATTTGAGTATTCATATTTCAAAAATCCAAAATATTCCAAAATATGAAATTTTTTGAGCAGCAATGAAATGTCCCAGTGGAAAATTCCACCCATGAAACTTTGTTTCAAGCACAATATTAAAAATATTGTACAAAATTACCTTCAAACTATGCATATAAGGTGAATAAGAAATAAATTTTGTGTTTAGACTTGGGTCTCATCCGTCAGACAACTCATTATTTATATGCAAAAGAGAAAACAAAACACCAGGGCTAGTGCTGTGGCAGTGCCAGCATCCTATATGGGTGCAGGTTTGAGACCTGGCTGCTCCACTTCTGATCCAGATCCCTGGGAAAACAGTAGAAGATGGTCAAGTACTTGGGCTCCTTTACCCACATGGGGGAAATGGAAGAAGCTCCTGGTTCCTGGCTTCGGTCTGGCCCAACCATGGCTGTTGTGGCCATTTGAGGAGTGAACCAGCGAATGGAAGATCAATCCATCAATCTCTCTTTCCTTCTCTCTCACCCTCTCTGCCTTTCAAGGAAAAAACAAAACAAAACAAAAAACCCAAGCACTTCTTCTGGTCCCAAGTATTTTGGATAAGATACTCAACCTGCAATATGTAGTGAAAACCAGAGTTACTGAAACTAAAGTGAAACCTGTCATAAACAACAGTTCTGTGAGCTTCTAATTCTTAAATTAATAGTTACAAACTATACTTAACCCAGTTAATTATGTAAAGAAATTTTACTCACCTAGTCTTAATACTACTTAGAAAGCCAGTATGAAAACAAGTTGTTTCCCCAGGTCTTAAAGAGATCACTTCTCTAAATGAGTTCAGACTAGTTATTAGGAATGAACAACCTGGCTTTCAAGTAAAGTAAATTCAGTAACAATACATACCTTTATCGCAAAAGCCACATGATTCTTGGATGAAACTTTTCAAAGCAGTAATTTCATATGGTATCTGAGAGCTTTCTGTCTCAGCAGTCAATTATACACACAACACAATTTTACACTTATGGCAAAATATCATAAAACAATGAAGTTACTTTACAAAAGTTGTAATGATACATATGATATTTCTAAACTTTAAACAGGAATTGAAACCCCTTGTAGAATTCTTCTCAGTAGGGAACTTAAAACCTAAAACCCAAACATCTTGATGGCTACAATATGAAACTTTTAACTTTACAACGGGAAAACAACCAAGTCCTTTTCACAAATATCTTAGCAGTACATCAATACCTTTATAAAGAACATCATATAATAGCTGGACATTTTTTGTTCTTCTTCCATCCTGGAACTTTGTAAGAGGCACTAATAGAAAGCACTAGGTTTTGGCAATGCTGTATCAAGCATATACAAAATATAGTGACATATTTTACTATGCTAACAAAGTATCATAAAGAAATTGTTATAAATCAAAAATAGGTTGTTAACATTACTTTTAAATCATTGATTTTGATTTTCAGTCACAATATTAACTTCATTAAAGAGCACTTTTCATCTACAAAATGTTCTATAGTTGTTTCCTTTGTGTAACAGAAATAAAAGCAATTAAGATACTCATAATTTCTAATTAAACAATATCAACTTCATTTCACAGCACTGATTAATGAACATTTTCAATTAAAGTGGTATACAATTTACAAAAATAGAATGATTATATAATGCAAAACATTGTCTTCCATGTCACAGGAAGAATATATATATATGTATGATTTAGTGTGTATACATATTTCACTGAAGTTTCACAAAAAGCCATTATTCAAGTACTTTTCTCAGGTTTCACCTGAAGTAATCATCTTGCTATTTTACTTGTGAATACATAAAAAAAAAAGGTCAACCTAAGAAAAGGTTAAAAGTTTCAGTGTAGCTTGACTTAAAAATCATCTGCTTATTTCAATGAAATATAGCTGAATTCAAAACAGATTTAAGTGCCATACCAAGTTTAACAACTTAGTAAAAATATATATACTTAAATGTCAAATACTCAGTAAATTTCCTATGTGCTGTCATAAGAGACAAATTAAGATGGTATTAATCTATTCATCGCCCGTCTTAATCCCCAAAATTCATGTTATGACTAAAATAAAACACTAATATACAATATACCTGCTTACAAACACATAGGTAGCCATAAATAAAACTTTATTCTTTAATTTCATTTACAAGCTACCAAATATGTATCGTACACAGTGCTGAACACTTAAATGGCTGTAATTGTGGAAGGATCCAGACTAAATGAAAAGCTGTTGATAAAGAAAAGATAAAAGCAAAGTAACACTGTACCAGAAGGTGGCAAAAGCATAGTTTTGCCTTCATAAAATCAATTAGATTCGTAATTACACATCAGTTGTGGTTAAAACAAAGTCTGAGTGCCATGCGATTCTCAGCTTTATTGTCTATCATCTGGCTAAAGTCTGTATACTCATCTTGTCTCTTGCGGTTATTAAAATAAAAAAGTTAAAAACTATAGCAGCAACAAGCAAACCCTGTGACAGGAAGGCAAGGGTTAAGAACTAAAAAAGTTTATACAGTGTATTGAAGGAAAGTGTGCAGTTTATCTTCCATCAGCAGGAGTTCGACTGAGGGACAACATGATTCGGGCAAATCGCTCGCAGAGTTCATGCGTGGAATATGCAGGTAACTTGGGCGGCTCGTGGAAACCTTTAATTTCCGTTGAACAATCAAGCAATTTGGGCAGAAAATCCGTCAGCTTTTCTTGGAGGTTTGCTGCAAAAACAAATTACTAAATGTAACTAACGATAGAAACTATCAGATGAGTGTCTTCATCAATTTGATTTATTCACTTGTAGGGGTTAGCTGATATTTCCTTTCCAACAAAGGAAAACAACTGCCATTTGGGGGACTCAGTGAAAATATGAATGGCAATGGTACTGTGCACTGTTCAGCTGGAAAATAAGAAAAAACATTAACAATGGTAAATGTGGAAATAATACAGAAAATTTAAAAATAGTAAGAATGCATAACACCTATTTTAACTGCTTTTAATATCTACAACTCGGGTGCCCACCAGCATTTCTTAAACTTACATTCCATTTCTTGTCCAAGGTAGGAACACCATCGATTCCTCATATCTTCCACAGCGAGGATATCCTTCTCTTCCATTTCATCCACCAGTAATAAGGGCAAAAATGGGACAATAAACTCATTCATGATGGTCAGACCATGGTTTACTTCTCGATCCTCTCCAGATTCAAACAGTTCTGCAGCTTGCTCATTTAATTTCTTAATGCAATGAGAAAAAGAATGTTTTGTTTTATAATTATATAAAAATTTCTACCTGCAAGTCTTAATACTGAAAAGAACATAGTAAGTTCACAAAGAGTATCAGGACAAATAGTGGTCAGTAAAAGCAATCTCAGTCTCATCTAGCACTCAGATACTCTTAGACAAAGATTCGCATACAGCAACAACAGAAACAAAAGCAAAAATGGTGACAGTGTTGTGTTTTTAAATTTCATGTTCGACTGAGATTAGTTTGATCAGCACTACAAGGGCTTGGCCATTTTAACTTCCCAGATATTAATTAACTTCCTTCAATTCGGAAATTTATAAGATATGTGTGTGTGTGTGTGTGTGTGTGTGTATTTGACTTATTTTATTTATTTAAAAGGCAGAGTTACTGAGAGCAGGAGAAACAGAGTGCTCTTCCATTTTCTGGTACAGCCCCCAAGTGTTCCCAAAGGCTAGGGCTGGGCAAGGCTGAAGCCAGGAGCCAGGAGCTACAATATAAATAGAGTGATGTTAATAGTTTGCTGAGAATGGAATCTGATTTGAAAAAAATCTCAAGATGGAATGTGTGATTAAATCCATGAAGGTGGCTCACTTAGGGATCATGAATAAAGTTTCCCAGGCATCTATGGTTAAGTAAATTGTTGCAAAAATATTGTTCAGTGTGAATCAATGCTATAATTAGTACTCAAACAGTATTTTATACTTTATGTTCTGTGTGGTGCAAACTGTTGAAATCTTTACTTTATACTAAATTGATCTTCTGTATATAAAGATAATTGAAAATGAATCTTGATGTGAATGGAATGGGAGAGGGAGCGGGAGATGGCAGGGTTGTGGGCGGGAGGGAAGTTATGGGGGGGAAAAAGCCATTGTAATCCATAAGCTGTACTTTGGAAATTTATATTTGCTAAATAAAAGTTAAAAAAAAGAGAAATGTTTAAAACTTATTAATGATAGTATTTTGGCAAATAGTAAATATATTTGAGGAAAGCAACTACAAAATCACCAGCTGCAAGAAAGGATAGAATATGATAATGAATGTTTTGATATTATGTACAGAAAACAAATACCATTTATAATGTCTCAAAGAGACATTATTTATTATCAAGAATATCTCCAAATTTATTTGTTTTCAAGAATATTTCCAAATGCTCTATGTCACTCTTCCTCTCCCACTAAAAAAGACATGGTAACGTGACAGAAATGTAAAAAATGTGATCCCTTCTTATGAACATTTCTGGTTTATGAGCTGCAACAATATATACAGATCTACAAGCATAATCAGTCACATAGATTAGTTGGAAAAACCTTCCCAATGTAAGAGAAAATGCCAAACGTATTTTGCATGCATTAACTTACTAGTAAACATTCTCTTCTATAATGTGATATCAGTTCTTCATCATGTCCTCTGTACAGGCCTTTGGATAATAGTTCCTTGTTATTCTGATAAGCACAGATGAGGAACAGCAACGAATCTATGTAACTTACAAATTAAAAAGAAATACAGTATTACTATCTCATCTTTATAAAAAAGTCAACTAATTTATAAAATATTTTAAGTACACACATACATTTTAGACATCTAAAACATAATTAAGTCACCTGATGCACTTTATGCCTGAGTGCATCTTTGTGTTTAGTAACAATGATTTCTGAAACCAGAAGACAGTTATATTTTAAAAATAAAATGAAATAGGAGCTATGATTGGTCATTCCTTCTTCAGTACCAATTTTCATACTGAGGTCTATGTAAACTAGAAATCAGGCCTGATGTCAGAGCCAACAATCTATTCATTTAAAGGATATCATTATTTTTGCATGAAGTGAGGAACAAATTATTTTATGATCACAAACACCATCTGGTTCATTCAGTGACTGTTTCTGTATGTTTTTTTCTGTATGAAGACACAGTTCTAGTCATTGAGAAAATGCAAGATAGAAAGGAGAATATCAAAAGGAGGTGGAGAAAGTAAAAAGGAGGAAAAAATAATCTAAAAATTAAGAAAAAGTCTGACAGGAGTAGGCTCCTGTGTTATATTAATACAGATAAACCTAGATGTTAAAGAGTTCAAACATGTATAAAAGTGAAGAGAAAATGTATAACACAATATTGTTTGCCTTTAAAATAATTATCTTGTCCTAATATGCTAGAGAAAAAAATACAGCCCTGTTTGGTTATAATCGAAATACAAAAAATATTTTAAGGTATCTCCTTTGTCTTAGCTCTAGGAACACTAACTTATCTGCTCACAGACTGACAGAGAAAAATGTAAATCCCAAGTAAAATAAACACAATTTTGAAACTCTAGGCTACCCTGTCAATTAGTGTTATACTTTTTATTTCATGTGCTTATCTATAAAAACATATCCATTTTATAACTCAAATGTTAAAATAATCTGAAATTTAATGTATATATTGAAGATAAATAAAATCGCACACACAAACTATCATTATAAGTAAATTTAATCATTTTTGAAAATAGCTTTTTTGTAAGAATTTCATTTTAAGGAAAATTTCATATGAAATTTTATGTTTAATAATGATTATATTTAGTAAACATCCTCAAAGATTGTGTTTTATTTACCAAAAAGAAAGTGAGTGTAATATTAAATGCTGTTTCACACATTAGTTTGTTACTTAATAAATAACTTGCACATCTATCTTGTCTTTGTACAGCTATTAAGTTTCCTGTTAAAAAGATCTTCCTGAATGACATTTATATCTGGCCTTGTAGACTTAAATAATCTTTACAATAACAGTTCAGACACCATGAATTTGTTCCAATTTTCTACTGAGGTAATACAAAATGTTCCATATTTCAACAATCTTTAAAGATCTAATAAACATATTTTCTTATTCATTTATTTATTTATTTTGACAGGCAGAATGGACAGTGAGAGAGACAGAGAGAAAGGTCTTCCTTTTTCTGTTGGTTCACCACCCAATGGCCGCTGCAGCTGGTGCGCTGTGGCCAGTGCGCTGTGGCCGGCGCACCGCGCTGATCCGAAGCCAGGAGCCAGGTGCTTTTCCTGATCTCCCATGTGGGTGCAGGGCCCAAGGACTTGGGCCATCCTCCACTGCACTCCCGGGCCACAGCAGAGAGCTGGCCTGGAAGAGGGGCAACCGGGACAGAATCCAGCGCCCCGACCGGGACCAGAACCCGGTGTGCAGGCGCCGCAGGCAGAGGATTAGCCTAGTGAGCCGTGGTGCGGGCCCTAATAAACATATTTTCAAATAAATTCAGCTTAAGGTTCAGAAGTCCTGTTACATTATTAAGTAAATTAATATCTCATAACCTTTTTTTAAATTTGAGAGACAGACACACTCTTGCTATTTTCCACTTACACCACTGTAAAACTCTGGTTTCTAAAAACATGGTTTCTCTTCACTATTCCTAGAGTTGACAAGCGCCTATCAGTGAGTACTCAATTCAGGGCTTTTAGCTGCTAAATTTCCATTAAAAAAAGTTTGATAGAAGCTTCTGGCAATATTTTATACATGGAGAGCTATGGTACCTGCTATATTTGTGATAGTAAAACTGATAAATCTTTTTCAGATATTCCATAATATTACTTGTCACCACTCCAAATATCTAATTGATCGTTCCAGGTTGATAAACACTATACCAAAATACTGACTTGCTGAACAAGTATGTGTTTGATAACTGGAATTAAATTATGAAATCAAAATATGCTTCACATTATCTTAAAGTCTTCAAATAAATGTTAACTAGGAACAACTAAAACAGAAGCTATACAAGTAGCCACAAAGTAAGATATTATTAAGATATTATTGAGTGATATAAGTGAAGTACAAGAATACGGGCGTCTCCATATTAATTTATCTCCCTGTAGTTATTTTTGTGAGGTGTGACCTTAACCAAGTTACTACCTTTCTGTGGAATCTAGTTTTTTATCTGTAAAATTGAAATGTCTTTTTGATCTTAGACACTCTATTCAATCATAGAATCATATTAATATTTTCTTCACATCAGCACAAGTCTCAGAAGCCCTGAAAGTAAACTTGAATATTTCTATTAAAGAAATAAAGCCCTGACTAAAACAGTAACTTAAATAAGGAGCAATTAATCAGTTAAATCTATTTCAAACACCAAAATGAATTATCTCATAAAGAACACAAGAACCAAGATTTCAATAACTTGTATCTAAGTATTTGGAAACCAAATCAAAATGTTATTTTTCTTTTTGTGTGATTACATGTAAAATCTTGATAATCATAATAATATAGCTAGTATTGTGCTCTGGAACAGTTCTGTCCAACATATTTTTGACAGTGGTGTATGGAAATTGTTTTTCTTTTCATGAAGATTTATTTTATTTATTTGAAAGAGTTACAGAGAGAGGTAAAGACAGAGAGAGAGAGAGAGAGAGAGAGAGAGAGAGAGAGAGAGAGAGAGATCTTCCATCTGCTGGTTGACTCCCCAAACAGCCACAATGGCTGGAGCTCAGGTGATCCAAAACCAGGAGCCATGAGCTTCTTCTGGGTCTCCTACATGGGTGCAGGGGCCCAAGCCCTTGAACCATCTTTCACTGCTTTGCCAGGCACATTAGCAGGGAGCTGGATCAGAAGTAGAGCAGATGGGATGCTGGTTCTGCAGGCCAGGGCTTTAACCTGTTGCGCCACAGTGTCAGTTCCCTGGAAATGTGTTTTATATCTATATGTCTACTGAACATCTGATATGTGGCTATTACATTTGAAAAACTGAATTTTTCACTTTAATGGCTTTAAGTTGTTACATATGGTTGGTGGCCACCATGTTGGGCAGTATGACTCCAAAAGAAAATAATCCATTCTATCACTTAAAAAAAAAATCATTACCCAAGTAGGGGTTTCCTTTACTTTATCAAAAGCAGAAAGTATTCAATAGTCCTTCTACTTGGCTGCAACTAGATACTGTCTTGAAAAAAAATAGGATTTTTCTAAGAAAAAAATTCATTAGTCAATTAATACAAAAGAATGTGAAATATGTTGATGTGTAAGTAAACAATCCAAAACAGAAAGTCAAATCCATCCTTTCTTCTTAATAACTGGAGTTGTAATGATACTATGGTTAAGAGAGTAGAAACCCCGGGCTAGCGCCATGGCTCACTTGGCTAATCCTCCGCCTGCAGCGCCGGAATCCCATATGGGTGCCGGGTTCTAGTCCCAGCTGCTCCTCTTCCAGGCCAGCTCTCTGCTGTGGCCCCGGAGTGCAGTGGAGGATGGTCCAAGTCCTTGGGCCCTGCACCTGCATGGGAGACCAGGAGAAGCACCTGGCTCCTGGCTTCAGATCAGCACAATACACTGGCCGCAGCACGCCGGCTGCGGCGGCCATTGGAGGGTGAGCCAATGGCAAAAAGGAAGACCTTTCTCTCTGTCTCTCTCACTATCCACTCTGCCTGTCAAAAAAAAAATTATTTAAAAGTGCAAAGATGATATCATATCTCAACACAATTGTCTGAAAAGCAAGCTCTTTTTTCATACTTGTTCATTTTACCTTACCTTTCTCTCTGAAAGTTTTCAAGTCCAATTATAAGATACATAGTGGTTTCCCTGAATTTCCTATAATCCTGATGCCACTCCTATAGAAAATATTCAAAAAATCCGGAGTAAGATTTTAAACATTTTAATGAAACTTTTCATAAACTTAACATATTGTGCTATTTGAATCAGTAGAAATACAGGACTTCAAAATGAATATAAACTACATCTAAATCAAATTTTCTGATATAAGATACATATTAACATGATTAAATTATTAGGCATTACTGAATTAGATAAGATCTTACTAGAAAAGTCAATAGAAATACAAAGGCAGCATAATCAATTAGGTTGTCTTCCTTTCAAAATTTCTTCAGCATAAAATCCTATTATTAGAATTTTAATAGAGTACAAGCCAGGTTTCCTTTATCTAAAATGCGTGGAAATAGACGCACTTGAAGCCATGGAGTTTTTCTACATTGACTGAGCATCTTTAATCCCACTTGAGCATCCTGCATCCCTAATTTGAAAATCTGGACTCTGATGTGCTCCAAAATCTAAAACATTTTGAGTGCCATGTAAGTGCTCAAAAAGTTTTGCACTTCAGAATATGTATCAACATCACACTGAAGGGAGGCTGTGAATGAATTTATCACTTTAATACTGACTTGAATAGTGTTGATACAGAATTTTAAGAAACTAAAGATACTGTAATACATTTAGCCTTTTACTTGGCCAAACTTATGAGAAACTTTATTTTAAATGTGGTAGCTGAGTAGTTTAGGAGAAAGGATAGCTGCTCTTCCTATTTCACTGCTCTTGCCTCCCCAAAAAACAAGTATAGGTCACGTAACAGAACAGATTCTGAGATGATACCCTATAACCCTTGAAGATAACAAGACTTTAACTTAATGAAGAAGAAATTTGATACAATAAAAACAAGTGAAATACAATATAGGATTAATCTAAAAGAGAATATTGATCATGAAGTGTTAAAGCATATATGTACACACATTACAGCCAATGAAAAGAATAAGTAGACAAGTTTCTTGGCCAACTATATTCTCCTTTAATATGAGCTATTTAAATTTTTATTTAATTTTAATTTTTAATGTATTTTATTAATATTTATTTATTTGAAAGTCAGAGTTACAGAAAGGAGACGACAGAGTGAAAGATCTTCCATCTGCTGGTTCACTCCCTAAATGGCCACAACAGCAAGGACTGGGCCAGCCTGAAGCCAGGAGCTTCTTCCAGGTCTCCCAGGTGGGTGCAGGGGCCCAAGCATGTGGGCCATCCTCTGGTGCTATCCCAGGACATTAGCAGAGAGCTGGATCAGAAGTGGACAGTTGGGACTCAAACCTATGCCCATATGGGATACTGGGGCTGCAGACCAGGCCCAGGTTTAAACCCATAATTTTTAAGGGTTTAAAATGCATCTACTGAGATGCTGAACATATTCCTTCCTAAACCTTTTAATGCAAATATTTATCTCTTTAATAATTTATTTATTTATTTGAAAGAGTGGTAGAAACAGGCAGAGGCAGAGAGGCGAGAAGGAGGAGAGAGGTTAAGAGAGGATTAAGGAAGGAGAGGGAGAGAGGATCATCTCTCTACTGATTCATTCACAAAATATCTGCAACAGCCAAGGATGGGCAAGGAAAAGCCAGGAACCAGGAACTCCATATTGTTCTCCAAGCGTGTCAGGTGCCCAAAAAGTTGGGCCATCTTCAGCTGCTTTCCCAGGCAGATCAGCAGGAAGCTAGATTGGAAACTAAGCAGCCAAGACTGGAATTGAGACCCTGGCACTCCAATATAGATGCTGGCACAATAAACAGCAGCTTAACCAGCTGTGCCGCATCACAGGCCCAATAATTTACCTACTCTTATGCTAATATTAAAAAGCTCTAATGGTTAAGACAGTGAGTCCAGATTTCTAGCAGAACAAGCCCGTTCACAGTTGTCTTCAAGAATGTCTTGGCAGATTAGGATCTTTTCATTTCTATAAAATTTTTTGAACAGACTATCAAACTCTACAAAACATCTTGCTAGCATTTTCATGTGGAATGCACAGAATTTATAAATCATTTGTAAGAAAATGACATCTGTAACAACATCCAGTTTCCCAAACATCATTATTCACATACACAAACCCCTCCCTCAATCCTTTTTAGATCTTTTTTAATGTCTTCCAGTAAGCTTTGCAATTTTCTCCATTGCTGTCATAAAGATCTTTTGTTAAATTTATTTCTATGTACTTCTTAGTTTCAAGGTGTTATTGGGTCATTTTTAGAAGTTTCATTTTCTAATTATATGTTACTGGTATATAGAAACCAAATTAATATTTGGCATTGATTTGCACACTTCCTAGCTCTCTAATCCTAATAAATTTAGCTATAGATTTTCTTTGAATTTATAGATATAAAATCTACAAATAATGAGTTTTTCCTTTTCCAATTTTTTTACTTTTTGCTTACTATTCCTGTTGTCTTACTATGTCTTTCCTGATCACAAAAGTAGTTTCAAGGTTCACAATTCTATATGTTTACTGTACTTGTTTATTTTTTATTTTAGACATGCTTTTAAATGGATTAGTTATGTTACACTACAGGTTAGCTAGGAGTTTTCATAAAATATTGAGTGTTTATTTCTCTTCTTTGTTACTGTAATAAAATACACTGACTACTTAAGAAAATCCAAAATAACAATTTATAAATAGGAGTAATCAAAGTCATTCAGGAAATCAGCTTAAGTCTATAAATTAAAAACACAATGTATAATGTTAAAATGTAAAAGCTTGAAGAAATACTGGTCAATTCCAATTAAGTGCTAAAATCAGAACCAAAGGAAATGCAGAGAATTTTATCACATAAATGGCGTGTAAGCATTTGCACAAATGCCTCTGTGTGTGCTCTCTGTCTCTCACTCGCTCTCTCACATCCAACACTGTCTCATATGCCAAAAATATATGGCATAAAACATATGTAGCCAAAGCAAATCTCTAAATTCTAGTAAAAAATAAATGAATCATATTGAAAGAAAAAATACAGCATGCCTTTATTGCAGTATAGTAGTTAAGTATACAGTTCTGTCAGCCAAATTATAAACTTCTAGCTGTGAAACCCATAGATAGCTTCACCTCTCTATGCCTCATTTTCTTGGGTATAAAACAGAACTAAGGATACTAGCTACCTCATGGTACTATCTTAAATAAATCAACTAATACACAAAAAGTTTAAAAGACTATTTGGTACACAGTAAATAAATGTTAATAAATATTAGCTGTTGTTATAATGTAACAGCAATTTCAAAATGAACAATATAATTTGTTACATTATTTTTAAGGTAGAAGAGTTCATTAGGAAAGCAGTTGGGGGCAGGTTTTTTGCACAGTGGTTGACTGCTTAGAAAATTTGTATCCCACACTGGAGTCCTGAGTCTGAGAACCCAGCTCTGCTCCCAGTTCCAGTTTCCTGCTAATGCACACTCTGGAAGGAAGCAAGTGAAGGCTCAGATAACTGGGTTCCTGCCACACCCAAGGAAGACCTGATTGGTTCCAAACTCCCAGCTTTGGCCTGGCTATTGTGAGAATTTGGGGAAAAAAAGTTTTGTTTTTGGTTTTAACAATTAACAAATTGATCCTAAAATCATTTGTAGAAATATTAATAATCTGAATATTGACTTAGAATTTTTACTTTTCATGAATAACTGATTCCAACTTAGTTGTGCTGAAAAGAAAGGAATATCAGTGAACTATCAAACTAGTTCAGCCTCTCAAAAAGCAAATTACCTCATATTCTTCCAAATTCACTTCTTCAGGTTTTATCATTTCAAGTTTGGCTTGAGCCACTTTCATTATATTGTGACACCTTCAAATTAAAAAAAAATACATTTTTAAATCAAAAGGAAAACCCATAAAACCAAATTCATGTTACACAAAACTAAATTAATGAACATACATAAAAGTGAAATCTATTATTATGGAACTTTTTTTTTTAGAAAATTCTCATACAAGCTTATGTGAAATATCTTTCTTGGACTAGTACTAAATATTTACAAATAAGACTGCATCAATAATTAAATTCAAATGTACTGCATCATAATTACATGTGGTTTTTGAAGTATATTTTGTTACTATAGCTTACATAGTGAAAAAAATCAAACATTTTTTATGATTACTAAGCAAATACAAAGTGTACTGTATTTTTTTTTAGCAGGTGGTTTTTTTTAAGATTTTATTTGAACGATGGAGTTACAAAGAAAGCACAAGAGTCAGAGATCTCTCTCATTGGCTGGTTCACTCCCAAATAGCTACAATGATGGCGGCTTCACCCATGTCTTCACACCATGGCTATAGGGGCCCCAGCACTTGAGCTGTCTTCCACTGCTTTCTCGATGCATTAGCAGGGGGCTGGATCAGAAGTGAAACAGCTGGGACAAAAACCAGAACCTATATGGGATACCAGCATATGTATTTTCTTTATCTCCCAAATAGCTGTATACTTAAATTTAAAAAACAAAAACAAAACAGAAAAAAAATCACAAAATGTGCCTATCTTTTCAGGTAATAATGGAAACATTCCAATACATTTATGATCATAATCATTCCTAATGAATTCCTACCAAATATATTTAAGGAAGGCATTTGGCCTAGTGGTTGGGACATACACATCCCATTTCAAAGTACATGGATCAACATCTGGTTCTGGATCCTGATGCCAGTTTCTTAAACCTGAGAGGCAGCAGTGATGGTTCAAGTAATTGGATTCCTGTCACCAGTGTGGGAGAACTGGATCGAGTTCCCAGCTCTGTGCTTTGGGTACCCACCCCCAGTTCCTGCCATTGCAGGCATGTGGGGTATGAACAAGTGGATGGGGGAATGCTCACACTTGCTCCCTCTGTGTGTATGTGTGTGTATTTCTCTGCTTCTCAAATATTTAAAAAGAAAAAAAGGAATGTGCTGCAAAATATATTTAATTAACCACATGCACCTAAATACGGTAAATACAAGAGACATCAAATATCTAAAACGTTAACCACTTGAGGTCCTCACAACAGACAATTCCAAAGGACTGCAAAATCAATGTGATTACTTCCTTAACCTCTTCCCTAAATTTAGCAGTCTATAATCACTAGAACATAGTGTACTGACAGTCCAGAGAATGAGGTCATAATCAGTCTTACTCCTGATTTCCCTGGCAATTATATATGACCAAATAGGTACAGTTCATACTGCTACTAACACAAATAGAAACAGCCAACATTTAGTGAGTGCTCAAGTGTATACTAGATACTGTTCTATTTGCTTGTATCCTTTCATACAAAACTACACTGCAGGGATCCTAGATACTTTGTGTCTCATAGTCTCCTCAGCTCCACACTTTAAACTCAGTATATGAGAATAATTTATTCCAAAATTGAAAAACAGTTACAAGGAACTTCAAGACTGCATATGAATGTTTCTTGTATATTAAAATAACTTTCATTATTTTGGACTTTTTCCTGAAGTCTAATGTCTTTAATGTCATACATTCTAATTAGATTACATTTTAATATTTAACATTAGTAGTTTTATAGTAGTTAAGAGAAAATATGTCGGGGTGAGCCAAGTTAATTTCATCATTATAAGCTTTCTCTTTATGCCAAAAAATTTAATTATTTCTATATATGATTAAAAATTTTTCTCCAGTGATTCTTACAGAAGGGTGATTTTTGCATTCACAGGAGTCATTTGGTAATACTAGGAGACATTCTGGGCAGTCATAACTTGGGGGAAGCTACTAGAATCTAAAAGGTGGATATCAAGCATGTTGCTAAATGTCCTACAAACAAAGGTACTACTCCCCAACAATGGAGTAGTACAAGACTTAAAATGTCCAAATTACATAGGCTAAGAAATCACTTTTTTTCCTCTGAAATACAGTCTCATTAAGTTAATGATTACAAGATTCACAACTAATCTAAATTATTTTTCAGTTCAAACTTTTAAAGGCTTTGATTACTGACTCCAAAGAAATAAGAAAGCAAATTAAAAAGGTAAAATTTTGTGCTGTATTTATTGAGTTTGTGCATGCATAAAATAAACATAAAAATTACAATGGGGATCTGCAAAAAAGTGAGAATCTGAGCATGTGAATTAGATATTTTATATTTTCACATTACCTTTCATCAAAACTCAAATTTCTATCTCCAAATTGTTCCAGCAAGGTTTTCTCAATGATTTTCTTTGGTGCCTGGTTCTGGATAAAGTAGACCACTACGTGATGTAAACGATAATCTGTTTCTGGGGGGGTGTCTTCTTGGGCCAACTTAACCAACCGTGAATATTCCAACTTAATTGCCTAGAAAATCAAACAACAACCACAATGTTGGTCAATTTTAATAATTAAATTCCTTCAATATTATACATTTAATTCCTCTTGCATTCAAATTTATTTTATAAAGCATTGCAAACAAATCCATAGAACTAAGAATAGTTGCAAATAATTTTCTAAAGAACTGACCAGGTGGGTCCTTCTTTGTTCATTTACCATATATTCATTTGGTTTCCACACACTGAAGTGGTAAAATAACAACTCTAAGCTTTCAATGTGATTAATTTTGTGAAATTCATCAGAACCTTGTCAAAGTCTATTCAGAGGCATCAACAGATGGACATGGTAAGTTCTCCTGTCTCTTTCTAGCATTTGGTTTACCCAAATTCTAGAACTGAAATACAGCACCCTAGAATATCCTTAAATCAAAGAAAATGGCTGAATCTTAAATGAATAGTAATACTACCATAATTAGCTTTTAGTTGAAGGGCCCACAAATAAGGGATGAAACAGCAAGTCCTGAGGTTGTAGTTATAATTCCTCCTTGCTTCAACAGTACTTGAATTTTATTTATAATAAATTTATAATAAATTTATTAATTATTATAAATTTATAATAAATAATAAATAAATTTATAATAATGAGGACACAGTATTATCAGCTTGATGTTTGGGCTTATTCTTTATAAACAAACAGCACATTTACAATTTTAATGGCAAATAATAAACACTAATACATGTTTCCACACATTAGGAAAATTCTTGACTACATAGAAATATATGATTTATGCATATAATTCCATTTTACAAGAATCCTATAAAAAGATAATGTTTTTAAGAATATTAATATTCTAGCTATATTAACCATAACATATTTTGAGCTTCATGGGAAGCAAATTTAAAAAAATCTACTCAGAGAAGGAGTTTTTTTAAATGCACTCATTTCTTAGGTAATTCTTGGCCATTCATATGCTCCCATCTCTGTGGCTGTATTTTTCAGAAGGAAGGAAAAAGTAGTAAACACTAAGTGAAATATTCTGGTTATTTAATATCATATTTCATCAAAAGGAAGGCTAATAAATCCTTTGCATACCATATTACCACTATGAAGAGAACTGTTTTTATAGTGAACACAAAATGCTCTGACTTTGAAAAAGTATAGCTTTTATTCTGGATATACATATTTTCCCAAAGTCTTAACTGCTGTGGTTAATTAGCACACACAAACATTTACTTAAAGCCCTTTAAAGTTTTTATTTTTCTAATTTGGAAAAAAAAAGAAACAGGTTCATTTTAGTAACCAAAATATAAAAAAACTTAAGAATAAATCTACACACTTAACAAACAATAACTGTTTTTTGTTATGTCCCTTAGATAATGATTGTTAAAAACTATGAGATGATTTTTAGACAACAAATATTTCACATACCATGCTTTCCATCAAAGTTTATATAATCCAAATAACATTTTACTGCCTCCATTAATATAACACTGCTTTACATACAAGTAATCATTAAGTGGCTACCACCCTACCTTCAAAATAAAAACTGGGATTTTTTTTAAGTAAACAGAAAATTCAACTTCTTACATGCTAGGATTATATGTTTACCTCTTGATTTTTCTAAAGATTCTCCTAATTTCCTCAAGTGAATGCCAAAATCACAGTACTTTTCAATGGATGGGTTAAACCAGCAGAGGCAGACAGGCACCTCTAAATTTCTAGCAGGAATTTCTCAAACACCACACACATACAAAACACTTTTGCCTGCATAAATGCACTCTCAGCTGTTTTTTATGAACTTCCTTAAAAAATTTTATGACTTAAAATATGCTGGAATGATGTCTATTCAAATTCCCAACAGATGTTCCACATTGCTGTATTAGCAGAGCTGTAGAAATCTGCCATTATGAGTACAGTATGTTAAGCTTGTATTATACTATCTCCTCGGTGTCCTTAAAATTGCAATTGTTCATTTTTGATGCCTACATTTAAATTAATGTAGATATTACAACAAAACCACAATAACTTTTCAACATGAAATGTGTGATACTTGTCAGTAGGTGATGGAACTATTTGTATTTAGTTTAACTTTTTCATCACGTCTTTAATCAGACCGAACCCTACCCTGGGCAGTCTTACTTCCTCCTCTTCAGTCAGGAGCTTCTTCCACATAGGTTAACTCTGTCTCCCAGCAAATGCACACATGCCTTTGTTTCCTAAGTTTTCTCCAAGTGTTAAGTTCCTACTTGTTCATTTCCCATCTATCTATAGATGACCCCATTAAACTATTTTAAATTGCTCTTTTGAAATATTTTTTAGTTCTAAAGATCCAAATTATTTTTATCTAAACATTTTCCTACTTTTCTAAATTATTTTATAAAACCAAATCTTACATTTATGACTTTCTATAGATTTTACTTTGATATAACTATACATAAACACTAGAGAATATAAAATATCCCAATGTATAGTATTTCCTGGATGCAGTAAGATCTAAGAACAACTAAGTTAAGATTCAGAAAGGTACACAGACTACTAATTAATGGTGGCATAAAACAAGGCCTATAATCATTTAAGTATAATACTCATTTCTGAATGTGTGTATGTATACAAAAATGCATTAAAATGTTCATGGACCATTTTAAAAAAATGACAGTGTGCCAGGAGATGAACAAAGACTAATTACAAATTACAGAGGACTGAAATCACAAATACCATATATCATTTTACCACAATGCAATGCAAATAGGAATTAAAAATAAAAGACAACTGCCAAGCTAACACTTGGGAATTTTTTTTTATTTCAGAAACAACTTTATTCACAACACAAATTTTTAAAAAATGCCTGCCCCCAGAAATGAACTAAACACACACACACATACACACACATACACACAATTCATCTCACACCTCCCTGCACCCACTTCTTCCCATTCTCTCCAAATAAGAAGAAAAAAAAGGCAAAAGGGAAAAACAGAAAAACAAAACCCACACAAAACAAGGTAGCACATTTCTCCAGGGGAAAGGGGAATTTACACTCAAGCTGCAGGGAGCTGAACAGAGGTCTTCAGGCTACAGAGACCTGCAGACTCTCAGATCAGAAAAACAAAAGAAAAGGAAATAGAAAGCCAGGCAATCTGCAGCGGCAGAAAGCCAGAAACACAGAAAGGCTAGCTGGGTGGCAGACCTGGCAGTACAGGAGCAGGCAGGAGGGGGCTGTGAAAGGCAGGGAGAACACAGAGCGAAGGGAAGAAGCAGAACAGTTGGGTGTCCTTCCAGAGACAACTGGGTAACAAAAACCCTCTTAACAACCTTCGCCCAGATAGCCTTGAGCAGCCTCCAAGAGTGAAGGGAGCCAGGGAAACATGGGCTGCAGAATCCCAGAGTGAATGAGCAGCCCTTTGCCTGCCTCCCTGGGTTCTTCCCTACTAGCCAAGGCAGCTTCCTCCTCAACAGGTACTGGATTCTCCCTCCTTCCAGTTTTTTAGGTATTTTTCCCCCTTCTTTCCCCTCTCTAATACACACAATTTTTTTTTTTTCTTTAGTAAGGGGAATACCGTAATGTTGCTTGGCCTACTGCCTGTGGATGTGACCACAGTGCCTGCTGTTAATAAACCCACTGTACAATGCAGAGCCAAGAACTGTTAGCTGGTGGTCCTGACGCTGCCAGCAAGCACATGCGAATTAGTCTTGTGCTGACACCTAGTCTGTGGGTTTGCTTTCGGACCACCTTGACTTGTCTTCCTATAAACAGGGGCTCATCTAAGGCCAGGGAAGCCCTCAACGCCTCTCTGAGAACTCTCTATACGCAAACCCTCTGAACTCTAGGGAGTATGGTTACACAGTTGCTTGAACCACAGCCATGAGAGTGAGCTTCCAGCTCCTGCTATTGCACTGGAGTCCACACTGCCAACAGAGCGGGAACCAGTGCCAGCTTCCGTCCTCTCCTCCAGACATGATCCCTCGGCCAGCACGGCATGGAGGCACACTCACAGTCATCTGCTTCTCTACCTCCTTTGGTAGCTCCTTTAGCTTCTCAGCTTCCTCCTCCACAAGGACTTTGATGGCTCCCAGCCCGCATCTTCAATGGCGATGTCCCCTGGGTCTCTCTCAGTCTCAGCTCCTCCCTATTCCTCCTGGCTGCCAGGGTCTCTGGAGCCAGGCCTACCCACCCATCCTTGAGTATAGGATGGTGCCACCACCCTGGAGCCCTGACTGCTTGCAGCCCACACTGATTCTGCCGCTGCTACCATCACCATTGCCAACACTTAGGAATTTAAAACTGACGTTCTAAATTATTCTTACTATATCAATATTGCGAATACAAGTTAGCAAACCTACAGGAATGGCAGCCAAAGTAAAATTGTGCCTTGAATTATGTAGAATAAAATATACTTCAACAATTTAGAAAAACAGAAAATAAACTAAAATAAAATAGGAGAAATAATGTGACAAACTGGTAGTCAAAGGTTTTTTCTTTCCAAAAGAAATTGTATGGAAGATCAAGAAGAGGGAGGTAACTCAACAGCAAAAATAAGCGATGTAAAAATACGTAAGTACAAAAAGTCTTAAAATTAAATAATACAATTTTATCAATAAACTATAGTATCTCACTTAAATAAATGATCACTTAGAAAAATACAAGTTACCAGAACTGCTTTAAGAGACAGAAGAAAAGAAGCTTCAACTGAACCACAGAACATATACAACTGCCCCTAGAACTGCAACCAACAAAAGATTCAGGCCTATATTGTTTTACAGATGTACTGTGAAGGCAAATCTTCAAGGACTAGAAAACTTCTACATCTAAATTAACCCAGAGCCCAAAAAAAGAGAAAGCTGCCAGTCCAGCGCTGTGGCATAGAGTAAAGCTGCTGGCATCCCACGGCGCACTAACCGTGGTGCACTAGGTTAATCCTCCACCTGCGGTGCCACCATCCCATAGGGGCACCGGGTTCTAGTCCCAGCTGCTCCTCTTCCAGGCCAGCTCTCTGCTGTGGCCAGGGAGGGCAGTGGAGGATGGCCCA